CCAAGACACATATTAATCAAACTGTCAAAAATTAAATACAAAGAAAGCATTTTAAAAGCAGCAAGGGAAAAACAACAAATAACACACAAGGGAATCCCCATAAGGTTAACAGCTGATCTCTCAGCAGAAACCCTACAAGCCAGAAGGGAGTGGCAGGACATACTGAAAGTGATGAAGGAGAAAAACCTGCAACCAAGATTACTCTACCCAGCAAGGATCTCATTCAGATTTGATGGAGAAATTAAAACCTTTACAGACAAGCAAAAGCTGAGAGAGTTCAGCACCACCAAACCAGCTTTATAACAAATGCTAAAGGAACTTCTCTAGGCAAGAAACACAAGAGAAGGAAAAGACCTATAATAACGAACCCAAAACAATTTAGAAAACGGGAATAGGAACATACATATCGATAATTACCTTAAATGTAAATGGACTAAATGCTCCCACCAAAAGACACAGATTAGCTGAATGGATACAAAAACAACACCCTTATATATGCTGTCTACAAGAGACCCACTTCAGACCTCGAGACACATACAGACTGAAAGTAAGGGGATGGAAAAAGATATTCAATGCAAATGGAAACCAAAAGAAAGCTGGAGTAGCAATTCTCAGATCAGACAAAATAGACTTTAAAATAAGGACTATTAAAGGACACTACATAATGATCAAGGGATCGATCCAAGAAGAAGATATAACAATTGTAAATATTTATGCACCCAACATAGGAGCACCTCAATACATAAGGCAAATACTAACAGCCATAAAACGGGAAATCGACAGTAACACATTCATAGTAGGGGACTTTAACACCCCACTTTCACCCCTGGACAGATCATCCAAAATGAAACTAAATAAGGAAACACAAGCTGTAAATGATACATTAAACAAGATGGACTTAATTGATATTTATAGGACACTCCATCCAAAAACAACAGAATACACATTTTTCTCAAGTGCTCATGGAACATTCTCCAGGATAGATCATATCTTGGGTCACAAATCAAGCCTTGGTAAATTTAAGAAAATTGAAATTGTGTCAAGTATCTTTTCCGACCACAATGCCATGAGACTAGATATCAATTACAGGAAAAGATATGTAAAAAAATATAAACATGTGGAGGCTAAACAATACCCTACTTAATAATGAAGTGATCACTGAAGAAATCAAAGAGGAAATCAAAAAATACCTACAAACAAATGACAATGGAGACACAACGACCCAAAATCTATGGGATGCAGCAAAAGCAGTTCTAAGGGGGAAGTTTATAGCAATACAAGCCCACCTTAAGAAGCAGGAAACATCTCGAATAAACAACCTAACCTTGCACCTCAAGCAATTAGAGAAAGAAGAACAAAAAAGCCCCAAAGCTAGCAGAAGGAAAGAAGTCATAAAAATCAGATCAGAAATAAATGAAAAAGAAATGAAGGAAATGATAGCAAAGATCAATAAAACTAAAAGCTGGTTCTTTGAGAAGATAAACAAAATAGATAAACCACTAGCCAGACTCATCAAGAAAAAAAGGGAGAAGACTCAAATCAATAGAATTAGAAATGAAAAAGGAGAGGTAACAACTGACACTGCAGAACTACAAAAGATCATGAGAGATTACTACAAGAAACTCTATGCCAATAAAATGGACAACCTGGAAGAAATGGACAAATTCTTAGAAATGCACAACCTGCCAAGACTGAATCAGGAAATAAAATAGAAAATATGAACAGACCAATCACAGCACTGGCATTGAAACTGTGATTAAAAATCTTCCAACAAACAAAAGCCCAGACCAGATGGCTTCACAGGCGAATTCTATCAAACATTTAGAGAAGAGCTAACACCTATCCTTCTCAAACTCTTCCAAAATATAGCAGAGGGAGGAACACTCCCAAATTCATTCTACGAGGCCACCATCACCTTGATACCAAAACCAGACAAGGATGTCACAAAGAAAGAAAACTACAGGCCAATATCACTGATGAACATAGATGCAAAAATCCTCAACAAAATACTAGCAAACAGAATCCAACAGCACATTAAAAGGATCATACACCATGATCAAGTGGGGTTTATTCCAGGAATGCAAGGATTCTTCAATATACACAAATCTATCAATGTGATAAACCATATTAACAAACTGAAGGAGAAAAACCATATGATCATCTCAATAGATGCAGAGAAAGCTTTTGACAAAATTCAACACCCATTTATGATAAAAACCCTGCAGAAAGGCATAGAGGGAACTTTCTTCAACATAATAAAGGCCATATATGACAAGCCCACAGCCAACATCATCCTCAATGGTGAAAAACTGAAAGCATTTCCACTAAGATCAGGAAAAAGACAAGGTTGCCCACTCTCACCACTCTTATTCAACATAGTTTTGGAAGTTTTAGCCACAGCAATCAGAGAAGAAAAGAAATAAAAGTAATCCAAATTGGAAAAGAAGAAGTAAAGCTGTCACTCTTTGCAGATGGCATGATACTATACATAGAGAATCCTAAAGATGCTACCAGAAAACTACTAGAGCTAATCAATGAATCTGGTAAAGTAGCAGGATACAAAATTAATGCACAGAAATCTCTGGCATTCCTATATACTAATGATGAAAAATCTGAAAGTGAAATCAAGAAAACACTCCCATTTACCATTGCAACAAAAAGAATAAAATATCTAGGAATAAACCTACCTAAGGAGACAAAAGACCTGTATGCAGAAAATTATAAGACACTGATGAAAGAAATTAAAGATGATACAAATAGATGGAGTGATATACCATGTTCTTGGATTGGGAGAATCAACATTGTGAAAATGACTCTACTACCCAAAGCAATCTATAAATTCAATGCAATCCATATCAAACTACCACTGGCATTTTTCACAGAACTAGAACAAAAAAGTTCGCAATTTGTATGGAAACACAAAAGACCCCGAATAGCCAAAGCAATCTTGAGAAAGAAAAAAGGAGCTGGAGGAATCAGGCTCCCTGACTTCAGACTATACTACAAAGCTACAGTAATCAAGACAGTACGGTAGTGGCACAAAAACAGAAAGCTCAATGGAATAGGATAGAAAGCCCAGAGATAAACCCATGCACATATGGACACCTTATCTTTGATAAAGGTGGCAGGAATGTACGGTGGAGAAAGGACAGCCTCTTCAATAAGTGGTGCTGGGAAAAGTGGACAGATACATGTAAAAGTATGAGATTAGATCACTCCCTAACACCATACACAGAAATAAGCTCAAAATGGATTAAAGACCTAAATGTAAGGCCAGAAACTATCAAACTTTAGAGGAAAACATAGGCAGAACACTCTATGATATAAATCACAGCAAGATCCTTTCTGACCCACCTTCTAGAGAAATGGAAATAAAAACAAAAATAAACAAATGGGACCTAATGAAACTTCAAAGCTTTTGCACAGCAAAGGAAACCATAAACAAGACCAAAAGACAACCCTCAGAATGGGAGGAAATATTTGCAAGTGAAGCAACTGACAAAGGATTAATCTCCAAAATTTAGAAGCAGCTCATGCAGCTCAATAACAAAAACACAAACAGCCCAATCCAAAAATGGGCAGAAGACCTAAATAGACATTTCTCCAAAGAAGATATACAGACTGCCAACAAAGACATGAAAGAATGCTCAACATCATTAATCATTAGAGAAATGCAAATCAAAACTATAATGAGATATCATCTCATACCAGTCAGAATGGCTATCATCTAAAAATCTAGAAACAATAAATGCTGGAGAGGGTGTGGAGAAAAGGGAACACTCTTGCACTGCTGGTGGGAATGTGAATTGGTTCAGCCACTATGGAGAACAGTATGGAGGTTCCTTAAAAAACTACAAATAGAACTACCATATGACCCAGCAATCCCACTACTGGGCATATACCCTGAGAAAACCATAATTCAAAAAGAGTCATGTACCAAAATGTTCATTGCAGCTCTATTTACAATAGCCCGAAGATGGAAACAACCTAAGTGCCCATCATCGGATGAATGGATAAAGAAGATGTGGCACATATATACAATGGAATATTGCTCAGCCATAAAAAGAAACGAAATTGAGCTATTTGTAATGAGGTGGATAGACCTAGAGTCTGTCATACAGAGTGAAGTAAGTCAGAAAGAAAAAGACAAATACCGTATGCTAACACATATATATGGAATTTAAGAAGAAAAAAAAGTGTCATGAAGAACCTAGGGGTAAGACAGGAATAAAGACACAGACCTACTGGAGAACGGACTTGAGGATATGGGGAGGGGGAAGGGTGAGCTGTGACAGGGCGAGAGAGAGTCATGGACTTATACACACTAACAAACGTAAGGTAGATAGCTAGTGGGAAGCAGCCGCATGGCACAGGGATATCGGCTCGGTGCTTTGTGACCGCCTGGAGGGGTGGGATAGGGAGGGTGGGCGGGAGGGAGACGCAAGAGGGAAGAGATATGGGAACATATGTATATGTATAACTGATTCACTTTGTTATAAAGCAGAAACTAACACACCGTTGTAAAGCAATTATACCCGAATAAAGATGTTAAAAAAAAATATCAAATGGCAATTGATAAGGACTCTGCAGAAAATTTCAGCTAGTTAATGCGAAAGGATAATTTAAAGGGGAGGTAGCGAGTCAGGGACTATCTCTCTAAATGAATCACAAGAATAATTAACCATATGAAAATCAACATAAAAAATTCCTAATAGATGAACAGTTGGCGCAAAAACCCTAAGGTGAGATCTAACTTTGAGAATCAGAAATAGCAGCTATGTTGCTAAAGCAGGTAAGAGAAGAAAAGGCATGCATGGCACCAGGGAGGTAGGCAAAGGTTATTATCACATAAAACTTGATCTATCAAGAAAAATAATTTGCCTTTTACTCTAAGTAACCCATTGGAAACCCATTGGAAATTAATGGATCACCACTGTTCTTACGAGAAAGGGAAAATTCCTTAAAAATATTTGATATTACATGCCTGTTAGAATGCATTGTATTATTCCATCCTTCCGTCTCCTTTTGCATCATACTCTTCCTTGCTGTCGGTTCTACAGCATAGCTGGCTCTCTTTCAGTCCATTCAATTTCCGTGATTCCTCAGACCAAAAGGCATTTGACCATGCTGCTTCTTTCACCTGAGATAACTGAAGTTATAAATAAATGAGTGGATTATTTTTAGACATTGTAAGAAACCAACTCATACCCAGACTTCTGAAATAATAAAACAACTGGAAAGGGGGAAAACAGGAGACTTCCTCCCAACCTCACTTCTTGCTTCAACATTAAAGTCAGTGCCTGTTCCACCAGAACCACTTTCCATCTCCCAGTCTCAATATTTATTATGTATTTGTAGATCCGACATTTCTCTGTAAAGCAACACAGTCTGAAACAGAAGGGAATCTGTGATGGTACATTTTATTCTGAGTTAAATCATGTAAAGTAAAAACAAGATGAGCATACAGAGCTGTACACTCCAGAGAGAACTGTGTTTACATGCAAAAGAAGACATACAGATTGCTTTAAATTATGACAGGAACCAGGAATGAAAAATACATAATTCTCACCTCAGGCAAACAGAGCTGCATTCTATAAATGCCTAATATAAAGTAGGGCCTATGTAAGAGTTATCTAAATAATTTAACTTAAAAGTAAAGTAAAGATACATGGAAGTACAGAACATAGACATCCTGTCAGCAGCTTCTTGGTCAGAACAGATCTCTACTGCTTCAAGGCTATACAGACTTGGGAGGTGATGGTGTGTGTAGGGCTGGGCGGCCTATAAAATATTCCACAACAAAGCATGGAGCCATTTTCTTAAAATAAGCAGAAGTAAACCTATAAAAATATTTATGACAGGAAACAATATGATGTGTAAAACTATATTAATTTTGAGTTTTCAGAATATTTTAAAAATTCATGAAATAAAATATTAAAAATGAAATTTAAAAGAGTATTATGATATATATGCAACAATGCTAAGAAATTAAAGATAAAACAGAAAAAATATTTTCATGAGTTAAGAAAGAACAGAATGAACCAACACAAAGTCAGAACAGCAATTTGGGAAACAGACTGAAAATATCTTTAAAATATGATAACTATGAAAGACATAATGGATATCAAAAGCTGATAACATATAGAAAATATACAGAGAATATAGTTTCACATCATGGGTAAACTACATTTCTGAAAAATAAGTTTGAATAAATAAAATAGAAAAATAAAGAAAAAAAACAAAAGAAATATTCAAAAATATTCCCACTGTGTGTGTGTCTGTGTTTAACTAACCTACTGACTGTAAGAATTCACTATATTCTAGCCTCAAATAATGCAAAAATAACATGAGTTTGACATATTCTGGAAAAGTTTTACATTTTGATAATAAAGAAAATAAGATCATAAATTCTCATGCATAAAAGCATAACCAGTTTTAGGGAATGTAAAGTAATTCTGGTTTATTACATTTTCATAACCTACCATCAATGTGTAAAGACAGTCTAAAGAGATTTTTTAATATGCAAAATAACACAAAATTTAAAAATGATCTTTGTTACCTGGTCCCAAAAATTCCCTAACTGAAAACATTAACTCTAAAACAGAGAAGTCTGGATTTATAGAATGGCATAAGCCTGATTCTATCTCATATCATCATCATCTGTGATGGCTATTCATTATATTTAAAATTAAGTTTAGATCACTCATTCATTCAGTATATTTTTTGAGCACCAATTAGGCCAAGGACTATGCTAGGCAGCAGAATGATGACAAAAATAATGAGCAACATGGTAACAAAAGTGCAGAAGGAAAAGACCAATATTGAATCTTACAGGATGATTACATAAAGTTAATGATACAAGTCTAGAAACACAGATCTTACTGCAAAGAAGGAAACTGTGGAGCAAGAGAATATTAAGCTAAATTTATCTTAGATTAAGAGGAGTCATAAGTAATGAAATTGTTCTTGAATATGGAAATTTTGAAAATCATAAATTTAATCATGTGTATTATTTAAAGCTATAGTATAAACTCAATCATTTAAGACAAGAGCAAAAAAACCAAAGATATACCTATATAATAAATACTATAATTAATCAAAATAATTTTAAATATGAAAAATAATACATAAAAGACACACTAGATATTAACATACATTAAAAAAATTACCCATTAAGAGAAAACATGTATTTTATTTGCAGAAAAAGCAATAAACTGTAAGAATATATTTTTTTTTGAGAAATAACTAAAGCACAAAATTAAATAAAAATGTAAAAATGGAATGATATGTGAAATAATTTTGAATATGGAGAATTTTAAGAGTTTTTGTATATGATGCCTATGAGAATGGGTATAGGTAAATAATATCCCTAAACAGCTATCCTTGTTGGTACTATAGGTGATTTTACAATTTGTAATTTCTATATTTCCATTTTTTTCTTAAAAAGTATATACTTTAAGATTAGTTTAGGAGTTGAAATTTTTATGAAAAAGCAAACAAATATCTCTGGCTTATTTATTATTTTGTTTGAGCAGAATATTTCTCATCTGTCTTGCTTAATTAACTAGTCAAGTCAGTACTTTGTTATTTTAGCAAAGATGAATAAATTTAGGAATTAATGGCTATGCACAGGGAATATTCTTAGATATCATGACCTTGATTTTAATGTGTCTCTAGAAATGCTGGATATTAAATGAGCTGGAAATTGTTTATTTTTCATCATTTGAAGAAATATTTATTCTTACCTGATATACTTGCCCCCAAAGCTCTTGAGATTTTTTGTTCTACTTTCCTAGCAAATGACAACTTTGAAGTGTCTATTTCATTTGAAAAGTAGTGCATACATTTCAAATGTTTAAATACGACAGGAATAAACATCATTATGATTCCATTATGATTCCATTTATGATTCATAAATGATAAAATGGTTATTTTAATCATTTTTTTATGAGGCCACTTTAACCAGTCATCAGCTCCCCCATTATCCTCTAATTCCTGCGTTCAGACAGCAGAATTTTCCATTTTTGCAAAGCGTTCTCTTGCCCCATGGCATTTCTGATAATTCATCACCAAGAACTAATTACTTAAAAATCCTTTATACATTTTCCATTTGCTAAGTTCCACCTTAAAGTCTGCATTACCAGAGATTTATTTTTGCTTCTCTTCCCCTCTCTGCACAAAGCCTCCCTGGCCCCTCTCCCCTCCATTTATTCCTGAGATCTTTTAATTCCTCTTCTCCATTTAATGTTGAGAGGTTAAGTTTAGCCCCCGTTTTTCTCCACAGACATGCATGTCCCAACTCATGCCAGAGCTCAGCAAAGCAAAAAGGGTTTCTAATGAACAGGACTCTCCTGAATTTTATGGCATTTTATTAAGCATGAATTTTGATTCCTCTCCCGAAACACAAGTATTTCTTCCTAAAATACAACATACTCCCCTGAAAGGGAGTTCAGTGAATTAAGATTTCTCTGTCCTCTTCCGCCACTATAATAGAGCCCAGTAATGCTTAAAATGTGGTTCCTGGCCTAGTGTCAGCGTCACCTGTGACCATGATAAAAATTCAGATTCTTGGGCCCTAATCCAAACCTACTGAATCAGAAATTCTAGGAGTTTCCCCATTGATTCTGATGCCTGCAAAAGTTAACAAGCAATGAAAATAATCTGCAGCCACACAGAAAAATCGTAACAGGTATGGACTCAAAATATACTTCTGTGTGACTGGGTCATATTAAGAATGGCAGCACAGGGTTGGGAACGGAGGTGGAGAGGTGGGGAGGCACCGGTACATTCAAAGTTGAGTTCTGGTCACGCTGCCCTGAGCTTGCCTCATCCCCTGCTTCACTCTTTAATAGCCCTCTTGAGCCTGTTTGTCCTACTCCACTTTCTTCTTCCTCCATCACACAGTTCACTTTAACTCATTGCTGGATGCCTACATACCTGACCTGGATTCAAATCTACCTGAAACTTTTTCTGTGCTTTCCACAGGCAGGGCTCACCCTACTCCCAGGTGAGACTGACCAACTGCTCCAGTTCTCTCCCAGGTGAGAGTGACCAACTGCTCCAGTTCTCTATGTATCATTTTCCTAGTTTCCCACTTCTATAGCCTTAAACCACCTGGTAACAATTTTTATGGTGTTTCACTGAATGCCTGAGGTCATCAGCAATTCTCTCCACCCTGTCTGGATTGGAACGCCAACATCTTCTGGCACTGAATAACCTGCTGCATCTCTGAGCTATTTCTAGCCCTACAGCAGCCAGTCTTTGTCAGATCTTGCTGAGTTTTTTGCTCTGTGCATGCACAGGCCAGCCTTTGGCCAAATGCCTGAAGGTAAACCCCTGCCCCCCGCACCAGACCTCTTATGCCTTCCTCTGCTCAGCAGCCTTTCCTCGTGTACTCTGCTCCACAGTCACCTCGGAAGCTTCAAACTTTGATCTGTACCACCTCAGCTTAGCAACGCTGTTCTCTTCTTAGGCTCTACCTCCACACTGTCCTGTCAGAGTTCCCCCAGGGAGAAAGGCAACACAAACATGAGGCTTAAACTGTATGTCTCACTTCTCTTGAGGATTCATCATCCTTTGCTGTCTGTTGTCAAATGCCCAGTATGGGAACATAGTCAAGTGCCAGTTAATCCATCAAGGCTGAAAGACAAGTTCTGAGTCTTGTTTTGAATTTTATTTTTTTTTCAAGCTGTAATCTTTCATGTCTGTCTTTCATTTTGACTATATTTAGCAATCCATAACTTTCTAATTTGCTAATTGTAAACGTTTTGGAATTTTTTTGTAGACTAGACTCCCTAAGAAGAAGAGCCTGAGCTAGAAACTTGGTGAAAGTGATGTACGGAGGGGAGGGCTCTCAGGAGAAGGGGCGAGAGGGAAGCAGGATGCGGAAGGAGAGCAAGTCAGGAAAGGTGTGGTTTTGCCCAGAGCACTGCCTTTCGCCTGACCCCACAGGAAGCTCTGGAACACGAACTAAAGCAGAGTCATCCTCCACCGTGAGGCAAGCGGGCCAGTTTTATGTACCCTCATTTCAATCAGTTGTTGACTGATGGCTGTCCTGGGCAGTGCTGGTGGGTGCTTTTGGGGTGGGAATGTATAACTTCCCGGATAGGTTTGCTCCTATTTAGCTGAGGGAAATCCTCTGATACAGGG